TTTCGGATAAAGGAGTGTCCGTCGATCCGGAGAAGATAAAATCTATTAAGGATTGGCCACGACCGAAGAATGCCACCGAGATAAGAAGTTTCCTCGGGTTGGCGGGATATTACCGAAGGTTCGTTAAGGGCTTTGCGAGTATGTCCCAACCGATGACTCGGCTAACCGGAAAGGATACAAAGTTTCAATGGTCGGAGGAATGTGAGAAAAGTTTCTCGGAATTGAAGGCTATGCTAACGAGCGCTCCGGTATTGGTGCTACCGGAAGAAGGTGAACCCTACACGGTCTATACGGATGCATCGATCACGGGACTAGGATGCGTATTGATGCAAAAGGGTAGTGTAATCGCTTATGCTTCAAGGCAATTGCGTAAACACGAAGGAAATTATCCTACGCATGACTTGGAAATGGCGGCGGTGGTGTTCGCCTTGAAGATTTGGCGATCGTATCTTTACGGAGCTAAAGTCCAAATCTTCACCGACCACAAGAGTCTTAAGTACATATTCACCCAGCCGGAGTTAAATCTAAGGCAAAGAAGGTGGATGGAATTCGTGGCGGATTACGACTTAGATATTGCATATCACCCGGGGAAAGCAAATCAAGTCGCGGATGCCTTAAGTAGGAGACGTTTTGAAGTAGAAGCGGAGAAAAACCAAGAGGCTTTGGTCAACATGATGGGAACTTTGCATTTAAATGCATTGTCTAAGGATTATGAGCCATTGGGATTAGGTGCGGCCAATCAAGCCGATCTACTTAGTAGAATTCGTTTGGCTCAAGAGAAAGACAAGGAGATAAACGATTGGGCAAGGGACAATAAGACGGAATACCAAACGTCTAACAATGGTACGATTGTGGTGAATGGTCGGGTATGCGTGCCAAACGATAAGGAGTTGAAGGAAGAAATCCTCAAAGAGGCGCACCAATCGAAGTTCTCGATCCACCCCGGATCGAGTAAAATGTACCGAGACTTGAAACGATACTACCATTGGGTTGGAATGAAGAAGGACGTAGCGGCATGGGTTGCTAAGTGTTCGACGTGCCAACTAGTCAAGGCGGAACACCAAGTTCCGAGTGGATTGGTGCAAAATCTACCTATGCCGGAATGGAAGTGGGACTATGTAACAATGGACTTTGTTACTGGGTTACCTACGGGGATCAAGTCTAAACACAATGCGGTTTGGGTTGTGGTGGACAGATTAACAAAGTCCGCACATTTTATGGCAATTTCTGAAACGGATGGAGCCGAGGAGATCGCAGCAAAGTACATAGACGAGATAGTCCGGTTACATGGGGTTCCGGTAAGCATTGTGTCGGATCGGGATACACGTTTCACGTCGCATTTCTGGAAGGCTTTCCAAAAAGCCTTGGGGACGCGGGTGAACTTGAGCACAACTTACCATCCTCAAACGGACAGACAATCCGAGCGTACTATTCAAACCCTTGAGGACATGTTACGTGCATGCGTCTTGGATTGGGGTGGGAATTGGGAGAAGTACTTAAGGTTGGTGGAGTTCGCGTACAATAATAGCTATCAAGCTAGTATTGGTATGTCGCCTTACGAAGCGTTGTACGGCCGAGCATGTCGGACGCCGCTATGTTGGACACCGGTGGGCGAACGTATGCTGTTTGGTCCGAAGATTGTGGATGAAACCACCGAAAAGATGAAGTTCCTTAAGATAAAACTAAAGGAAGCCCAAAACCGACAAAAAAGTTATGCGGATAAGCGTCGAAAAGAGTTGGAGTTCCAAGTGGGAGACTTGGTATATCTTAAGGCGGTGACTTATAAGGGAAAAGGGCGATTTACTACAAGGAAGAAATTGAGTCCAAGGTACGTTGGTCCATACAAGGTGATTGAAAGGGTAGGGGCTGTGGCGTACAAACTTCAACTACCACCAAAGTTGGATGCATTCCACAAGGTCTTCCACGTATCACAACTTCGGAAATGTCTAAGCGAACACGAGGAGCGTGTAGAAGATATTCCTTCCGAGTTGAAAGAAAACCTAACGGTGGAAGCAAGACCAATTCGAATCATGGATCGAATGGAGAAGGGGACTCGAAGGAAAAAGGTAAACATGGTAAAAGTTTTGTGGGATTGCGGTGGCCGCGAAGAATCTACTTGGGAAACGGAGAATAAGATGAAGGCCGATTTTCCTAAGTGGTTTAAGGAGATGGATGAAGATCCACTTGAGTCGGATTCGGAGACGAATCCCATTCAAGGGGGGGAGACTTGTAATACCCGCGATCCTCAATAGGATCGCCGGGGAAGACTTGGTTCGAGAGAAGGGTGGAAATCTCGGGCTAAGTCTAAGGGAAGCGGACAAAATGGCTTCCGAAGTACGTAACAAGCTGAAACAAGCTGAAAGTGTTGAGCTAACCAGCTCGACTAGCTGGACCAGCTGCTTCGTAGCTCACCTAAGCTGGACGGAGTGAAGGTCAGCTGGTCGAGTGACAGTCCAGCTGGGTCAGCTGGTCGGGTAGGAGGGTAGTATGGCGGTTGGGGTGGACGGTCACGTACGCTGGCCGAACAGACGCGGGTGAACGGTTTGATCGAATACGTGCGAATGAACGGTTTCGGCGAACACATGTGAACGAGCGGTTTCCACCGAACAGGCACCAATGGGGTAAAACGGTTTATCCGTAAAAACTATAAATAGAAGGCGTTTCCTTCATTTGGACGACATGCGCAAACACCTAAAAATCCAGAGAAAACTCTTAAGGCATTTGCCGAGAGGAATACGGTTAAAAGGAGAGTTTGCGGAGCCGAGCGTTCTATCGGCGATCGAGTGAGGCAACACGGATCATTCACCGAGCGAATCCGTGTAGTCAAGGTGGGTGTAAAGCCGTGGTAATGCCTCGGAGATTACGATCTCCGGACGTACAGATGGGATAAGGGCTAGAATATTGTGGGTTGTTTGATTAGTTTGTTGATCGGCCTAGTCATTCATGAGCATATTCATATCGTGCATACTTTGTAAGGAGTAACGGTTTGGTTGAGACGGGGAGGCGGCTCGGCAAGGAATCGGCGGATTTGCGAGGATCTACCGGTTCTAGGCCGAACTGATGCGCTTACTTCCTCTCTCCGATCCGTTTTCCGGACCAAAGGATTATATGAACGTATAGTGCATTGCATGGACTTGCATCCACTAAGTAAAAGACGATTACTTATGCCTTGTTGGTTTCAGGAAAGGATGGTGATCGTGGGAAGGATTTGGCTTAGGCGCGAGAGACTCATGGCCGGGAAGATGGGTGGTGGTGAATCAGGTAGAATAGGATCGATTATATGACTTGTAATAGCTTATATGCAAACTCATAAGTTGTATCGAATCCTTTACTTATCTAATAAAGTATCCGATCGTTTGTTTTACTCTAAGGTTGCATAATGACTCTAAATAATGAATCACGGAATAATATAAAACGGATTGTCTTAAGGAATGAACCCTAAAATTTGGCTAAGGATCGGACCACTTAGTGATCCGTTCGGGAAGAACCTCTCCGGACTTAGGGAGTCCGGGTTGGGGTCTTTCAAGTTGGTATCAGAGCATTTACGGTTCTAGGACTATGAGTTTTGGGTTTGGGAATCACCACTCATCGGCTTAATGGGATCTCGCGGTAGATGTTCTTTCTCTCTAACGATTACTTTTGAGTTATATGACTAACTTGTGAGTTTTCGCAGATGGTTAAGAGAGACAAGTCGGGAAAAAGTAAGAAGGGTAAGGACGTTGTCGAAGAGACATTGGTTACCGAGGAGACGCGAGTCACCGAGAAAACAAGGGGCTCGAATCCTATAAAAGAGTTGCGAATTAGTACCCTCGGCTTTGGAAACACAACAAGACCAAATCGGCTTAGAAAGAATTTATGACAAAAGAGTCAAATGACTCCGGATTGTGACGGGTACTAGGACAGGGGCTCGAATCCTATAAAAGAGTTGCGAATTGGTACCCTCGGCTTTGGAAAAACAACAAGACCAAATCGGCTTAGAAAGAATTTATGACAAAAGAGTCAAATGACTCCGGATTGTGACGGGTCCTAGGACAGGGGCTCGAATCCTATAAAAGAGTTGCGAATTGGTACCCTCGGCTTTGGAAACACAACAAGACCAAATCGGCTTTGAAAGAATTTATGACAAAAGAGTCAAATGACTCCGGATTGTGACGGGTCCTAGGACAGGGGCTCGAATCCTATAAAAGAGTTTCGAATTGGTACCCTCGGCTTTGGAAAAACAACAAGACCAAATCGGCTTAGAAAGAATTTATGACAAAAGAGTCAAATGACTCCGGATTGTGACGGGTCCTAGGACAGGGGCTCGAATCCTATAAAAGAGTTGCGAATTAGTACCCTCGGCTTTGGAAACACAACAAGACCAAATCGGCTTAGAAAGAATTTATGACAAAAGAGTCAAATGACTCCGGATTGTGACGGGTCCTACGACAGGGGCTCGAATCCTATAAAAGAGTTGCGAATTAGTACCCTCGGCTTTGGAAACACAACAAGACCAAATCGGCTTAGAAAGAATTTATGACAAAAGAGTCAAATGACTCCGGATTGTGACGGGTCCTAGGACAGGGGCTTGAATCCTATAAAAGAGTTGCGAATTGGTACCCTCGGCTTTGGAAAAACAACAAGACCAAATCGGCTTAGAAAGAATTTATGACAAAAGAGTCAAATGACTCCGGATTGTGACGGGTCCTAGGACAGGGGCTCGAATCCTATAAAAGAGTTGCGAATTAGTACCCTCGGCTTTGGAAACACAACAAGACCAAATCGGCTTAGAAAGAATTTATGACAAAAGAGTCAAATGACTCCGGATTGTGACGGGTCCTAGGACAGGGGCTCGAATCCTATAAAAGAGTTGCGAATTGGTACCCTCGGCTTTGGAAAAATAACAAGACCAAATCGGCTTAGAAAGAATTTATGACAAAAGAGTCAAATGACTCCGGATTGTGACGGGTCCTAGGACAGGGGCTCGAATCCTATAAAAGAGTTGCGAATTGGTACCCTCGGCTTTGGAAACACAACAAGACCAAATCGGCTTAGAAAGAATTTATGACAAAAGAGTCAAATGACTCCGGATTGTGACGAGTCCTAGACCACAATTATAAGCACGGATTTGCGACCAAATATGGTAACTAAATTATACGAATTTTGTTACTAAACTTACGTCACGTCTAGTTACAAGAGTTTTGTAACTACCCTGTCACAATTAGTCACTGTTTTAGTGATCTTGTGTTTGGTCATAGATTGTGACATAATTGTTACAAGTGACAAGAATAAAAACATGTGAACTAAAAGATAGTCATCTAAATTATATCATTTGAACTATATAACTTTTATTTATTGTGAAAATAAACTATTTGATTTTTATTTGTAGTTGAGGTATTTAAAATTTATTTATTAGATTTGTTTGGTTAATTATAATTTTTAATATGATATATTGCTTAATGATTTATTATGTATATGTATATATATATTTTTATGTACACGGTTTCAACATATATCCGCTTTTTGAAATTTATATAAAAGTCGTTTCCACGTTTCCAAACGCTTCGTTTTTAAGTACCCGCTTTTTATTTCATGCGTACTTTAGCCCCCTCTTAAGGCGTGAACGTAGGCTTGGAGCTGAGACCTAACATAAATTTTTTTTATTTTATTAAAAGAAAATTAAAAATTAATTTAATTATGAATAAAATTATGTGTAACATATGAAAATATGAAAAACAAAACTCTAAATAAATAACGAAGGTTTAAATTTTTTTAGAAAATATTAATCTAAATTTGAAACAAATAATATTTAAAGCATATTTGAATATATTGTGTTAATATGGATTATTTTTTCATCAGGCTCACTTTATGTTAATATGGATTATATATTTTGGAGAACACCATCTGATGTATATACATCCATGTTTTCTTGGATTATTTAGTATTTCTGGAAAGCCAGAAGTGATAAGGTTTATAGTAACATGGACCAAAAAGTCCATCTGATATTTTGAGACTGGCAGAAAATGAAGAGCAAGCTTGGCAGGTTGCTCAAGTCGAGATCTCGAAGGTTAACATAGGAACGGTGGTAACAAATAATCATTCTCTTTCGAGAGTAGAACATACAGGGCAACACAGATCATGATACCAGTGTTTCATAGACGGTTCTTGGAAATAAAGTGATCGATTTTCAAGATTAGGATGGTTCTGTTCTCATCCAACCGAAGGAAGGCAAGACATGGGAGCTGCAAATACTCGAAGAAGCTTAACCTCACAACATACAGGGGTAGAAGCATTAATTTGGACAATGAGATGTATGATCGGCCAAGACAAACAAGAAGTAACTTTCCTTACAGACTGCTCAGATCTGGTGAAGATGGTGTCTTCCCCGAAAGAGTGACCAGCGTTCGCGACATACCTAGAGGCGATTCAGAGTGACAAAGAAGAATTTGATTTATTTACTTTATCTTTACTTTCACGAAATTCGAATATGAAGACGGATAAACTGGCACGAACTGTACGTACCCAACCGCATCTTACTACTTATGTAAACAATATTCCACAGCATTGGCTCATTTAAGTCAATCTAATAAAGTTGTTGACAAAAAAAAATATCGTGGATTTTGACTCAAGTCAGGATAATTCTTTACCAATAAATTTTTCTTTACAGGATTTTAAAAGTAACATCTATTTCTACTAAATCAACAGTCACTTTAACAAAAACTGCAGCATTCACCTTTTGACATGTGACCTAAGTCTCATTTTTTGCTGTTTTACTTTCACGTTAGCTTTTCTTTTTCACCCATGGAAAAACTGTTGCCAATACATAAAAAAAAATCTTTATCCTTTGCACTTTCTCCTTGCCACGATCTCCACCTCTTTCACCTCTTCTCCTCCCAAATTTCTATGAACTATAAAATTTTTCATCGCCATTCATCTCATAAATCAAGTATTTTCTTCGTCTAAAAAACAAATTTATAGTTTCCATGATCTCCATCTCCTATTTATGTTTTTTTAATTCGTTAAATCTGTCGAAAAATTCATCATCAAAAATTATATCTGTAAATTTTATCTGTGTATCTAAAAATCATATACTATTTCTATTGATTCCCATGATTTTTTTTTCCTGTTTCTTTTTTTTTTTTATAATTCTAATTGGATTCCTCTGTTTACGTGTCTACGACTTCTCAGGTTTCACCCATGGTCAAGACTTCTCATCAAATTACTTTGTGCTTTTGATGGTTGATTCTTCGAATTCAAGGTTGAGGTTAGTATGACGACGGAGTAGCTTGTCTAGGAAACATATACATTAATGAGACCGGTCTGGTAGCTAATTGGCCGTAAGTCTTTCCGGAGGCTATCTTCATGGGGACACGGCGAGAAGCCGATTTGTAACACTCTGCTTCATCACCGCTTCTATTTTTGAGCGTTCACTTCTCTCTCTCTCTTTCTCACTCATCACACCTTCTGGATAATTCATATATTTATGGTCGCTTCAAGTAGTATCTCACCTTAATTTTGTTGGTCACGAATGATTTATCAAACAGAAGGGATGAGACTGAGTGTAGAAAAATCTCCACATGTCCATTTTTCTTACACATGTATTTATTTATACCAAAAGATCTTTTATTTAATTTTGTTTGGGACGTCCAGTATTTTACATTTGGGTATCTTTATTCTTTGATGCCAAAATACTATACTAGAGTTTATAAGTTATTAATTTAAATACTTATATAATGTAAGACTAGCAAATAAGTAGGTTACTTTTTTTTATATATTTTGATCACATATATTTATTTCTTTCCAAAAAGTAAAATAAAATGATAGTTGTAAGATTTTGGAAAAAATTAAAATAACAATTACTACGTCCGTGCATGGCACGGGCCACACACTAGTATTTAATATATTTTTAGTGACAAATTTAATATCCAAACTCTCCCTTATCCAACGTGATAATGCATCAAGGTTTATAGCAATTCCACATTTTTAGCTACGCGTATTAAAATATTTTGAACTTTAGCAGAAACTCCCTAACTTCTCTCTAAACGTGATGCCATAGAATCTCAGAATTGCTCCTTCTCCGCCTTGAGATTGCTTCGTCTACGTATACCGTCAGTGTTTTTCCTTTGTCGGTTAAACTTATTTTAAAAAAAAAACTATTTTGTTTTTGGTACAAATCTGGATTCGGAACCCTATACCTAGCATTTGGATACATGGTTACGAAAAAGCGATGGACCGGCAAAACAAGGTATCATCCGATTTCATATGTCTTTGATCTTGTTTCTTAAGACTAATTAATTGAATTGTATTATAGTGTCATCATATACACACATTAAGCCTTCAAACCAGTAGCCAGCCATCCTTGAGGTTACCTTTTTATTATTATAAACTCTGAATCCATTCTCAATTTCAACCCCAAATTGTGTAGTTAGTTTTACTCTTCTTTTTCATTGTGTGTGTTCGTTCAATCACCTCATTATTTTCATTCTTTTTTTAATCTTCTGTAGACGCTTGAGCCCATTGAACAAGATGAGAAATTTTGCCTGGAGAAGGCTGCCATGTTTTTTGGAGATAGCAAAACAACATTACCGAGCTAATAACAAGCTTGGTAGTACGACGACCAAAGCGTTTCCACTTTGGATTGGGTTTAATAATTTTCAGGTGTTTTACACCGTATTTAAAGGAAGATGATAGTGTATATATTCTGGTTTCTATATAGCCTTAGTATTCTTTAGTTTGTATTTTCTTTTGAGTTATGTTTGTGGATTATCGTTTGTTTGGATGTTAGTCTGTTTTCTTTAAGATCTCTATAAAATGTTGTTCGTTTGCTAGTTATTATTTTCTTTTTTGATGTTTTATTGTATAATTATATATTTTTAAAGAAAATGATGATTGCAATTACTAACAAACAACTGGTAATCGTTTGTTTGTGACTGTCCATGTGTTTTTCACATTCCTAATTTTGTAACAATTTGATACGAGTTCAGTAGAAAAAAAAAAGTCACAAATGAAAATCAAATTGTGACGTTTGTGTGACAATAATCGAGTCACTAATTGTATCGGATTTGTGACAATAATTTGGTCGCAAAATGTATTAGATCAATGACTTATATATGGTAATAATTTGTGACAAATATGTGACGATCTTGTTATCACTATTTGTGGCAAACTTGTGACAGTATCATCCGTCACGAATTGTGTATTTTCTGTGACTATATGATTGTCGTCACAATTAGTTACAAATTGTTACCGTTGTTAATCGTCACATACATTTGTGATCTTTTTGAGACATACACGGATTTGTGACGATTTTATTGTGACATTTTAGAATTCGTGTCATTTTCGTCACAATAGAGTTATTGTGACCGAATATTTTTATATTTTGACGACAATAATCATAATAATATTCACTTTTTACTGTAGTTAAAAGCTTTGTCGTTCAAGTTCTAAAGAAGTTCCACCGGATGAGCATGGCGATGTTAAGTTTCGCTTTCGCTAGAAAATCTTGTTCGGTTGCTTACGTCATCGTGATGCTTCGTGCTTCTTAGGAGTGGTGGGTATTTTGCTTCGTATGGAAGAATGGTTTGACATGTGGCTTGTCTGTGGAGTGATTAGTATTTTATTTTAATAATGCGAGTTTTCATCGCTTCTTGATGACGACGTCATATCCATCTATAATGCTAAGCAATTCTCCATCTGGGCTCAACTATAATTTTGGGCTGTGTTTCTCTTTTAAACCCAATAGAAGCGAGACCACATGTTTTTAACATATTGATAGTAGGGTCTTCGTTTAGGTTTCGCTGTAGCGGGTTTGTGCTATTGTCTGTAGTTTTTCTTTTTCTACTGGATTTGCCTTAGTATCTGTCCGGTTCGATATCTTGCCATGTTTGTGTGAGTTCGGAGTGACTCGGTTGGATGTGATCGTTCCTTGTCTCTACTCAAAAGATCTGATCGAGATCTGCTCAATTGAAAGGTTTCTACTTTCTACCAAAACGTTTAACAGTCGTGATTCTTCGACATCGTTGTTTCCAGAAGAAGTTTCTGGGAGAAGTGTGAGGATTTAGAAATTTTTGTCTTGGATATATCTTACCGGATAGGAAGCTTAAGAATCATAGATCGTAAGGATGTTAAAATGGGTTTAAAGCCGGCTTTAGTCCATTAAAATAAATAAAAGCCTTAGGCCTGATTAATGAGAGAATTTCAGGCTACTATAAGGTTCGGCTTAAAAAGGTTTCGGGCTAAAATAGGGCCGGCCCATTACACAAAACTGTTTTTTTTTTCTTTTTTTTTCTTTTTTTTTCTTTTTCCTTCTTCGATCTTAGGTTTATCCCACACGCTCTCTTCTTTTTCTTCGATCTCTCCATCTTTGTTTTCTTCTTCGATTGTGAGAAGCCATTAGAAAGGGTTCGATTGCTCTCTATATTTTTCATTGGGTTTGGGTTCGTGTTCGTCTCTAATCCATCCCTAAAGGTGAAGTGTGTTAGGGTTCGTCTCTAATTAACGATATGGGTTGGTGTTTTCTTATACATAATTTGGTGGGTTCGTGTTAGATTATCGAAATTTTGGTTTCAAACTTGTCCGTCGCTGGAAAATTGAATTTTGTGTAGCTATGAATTAGTTATTTGAATTAGTCATTTGAATTAGTTTCTGAATTAGTTAGTTTCTGAACTAGTTTCATTCGGCGGTGTTGTTTCATTTGGTTGTGATTTTGCATGCTTTGATGAAATTACTAAACGATTTAATCGTTATCCAAATCCTCACTTGTTTTCTTAAATGTTGCAGGAATCGGGGAAAGTAATCACTTTTGTCTTAATTCTGATTTGGGTTCTTACTTATAGTCCTCTCACTAGTCAACATGCTTCTAGTTTCTGAATTAGTTAGTTTCTGAACTAGTTTCATTCGGCGGTGTTGTTTCATTTGGTTGTGATTTTGCATGCTTTGAGTAGAGGAATGGATGAATCTTATGATCGTTCTCTGTGGTGGGTTGCAGGGTATTTGTCGGATTGGTGTTTGGTTGGAAGGGTAAGGACGTGATTCTGTCTATGGAGTATCTCTGATGCGACCGTCCTAATCCGATACTCCAAGTGAGTTTGATCTATTTAAGTAACAGAAGAACCAATAGCTTTAGAATCTTTATAGGCATTGAGTCAATCCCGCAGCCAAATCTCTACGTGCTTCTTGTTCTTTGGTTTGGTTTCAAGGTGATTTGACTTCTTGGAGACTAGGAGATTCGTTTATGAATTTGAGATGTAAGATGATATATTATCAGAGGAAGCTAAGTACTTACATGTGAGATTAACACATGTTTTGGTAAATATTTGATTAGATAATTTTATATCTCTCGCAGCAATCCATGTAAAATAGTTCGCAGTTTATAACATCTCTGTGTTATTGTCTTTCATGCACACCACATGTTCGATGAAATTACTAAACGATTTAATCGTTATCCAAATCCTCACTTGTTTTCTTAAATGTTGCAGGAATCAGGGAAAGTAATCATTTTTGGCTTAATTCTGATTTGGGTTCTTCTTACTTATAGTCCTCTCACTAGTCAACATGCTTCTGGTTTCGCCTGCTTGTAGAGGTGTTTATCTTCAGACCATAGATCCAAATCCAGTTGATTTTTCAGCCAGAGGCTCTTATGCAAGTTGCTTTCAGGTTACCATTTCATCTCCTGTAACTTTGATCTTATTGATTCCAGTCTTAAAGTTGTAAAGTTTGGATTTTTCTTATATATGCAGATTCCTCCTTCAGTATCTCAAAGGGAGTGTTTGATGAGGTTAGGAACGGTCTTTTGTTTTAATCAGAAGCATAGAGAGCAGACGAGTTTCAAGAAACGGCATGTATCTACGCAGAATGTAGATCTTCCTCCTATTTTACCAAAGAACAAGAAGAAACCTTATCCGATTCCTTTTAAGCAAATTCAAGAAGAGGCTAGGAAAGATAAGAAGCTTGCTCAGATGGGTATAGAGAAACAGTTAGACCCTCCCAAAAATGGGTTGCTAGTTCCAAATCTTATTCCTGTGGCGTATCAAGTGATAGATAACTGGAAGTTGTTGATCAAGGGTTTAGCACAGCTTCTCCATGTTGTTCCTGTCTTTGCTTGCAGTGAATGTGGGGCGGTTCATGTGTCCAATGCTGGTCACAATATTAGGGATTGCAATGGTCCAACAAATTCACAGCGACGTGGTTCTCATTCATGGGTTAAGGGTACCATCAATGATGTTCTCATTCCTGTTGAGTCGTACCACATGTATGACCCTTTTGGGCGGCGGATTAAGCACGAAACACGGTTTGACTACGAAAGAATCCCAGCACTTGTTGAGCTATGTATTCAGGCTGGAGTTGAGATCCCTGAGTATCCTTGTCGCAGAAGGACACAGCCAATCCGAATGATGGGGAAGAGAGTGATCGATCGAGGTGGATATCTTAGAGAGCCTGATAAGCCTCAGACATCATCAATATCATCTCCACTTGCCGAGCTTGACACGCTTGGTGCTTGTGAAAGGTATCCGCCTCCCACACCAGAGGACATACCTAAGATAGCACAAGAAACAATGGATGCTTACGAAAAAGTGAGATTGGGGGTGACGAAATTGATGAGGAAATTCACGGTGAAAGCATGCGGATATTGTTCTGAAGTGCATGTAGGACCATGGGGACATAGTGTGAAGCTGTGCGGGGAGTTCAAACACCAATGGAGAGACGGGAAGCACGGATGGCAAGATGCTCTTGTGGACGAAGTCTTTCCTCCAAACTATGTATGGCATGTGAGAGACCTTAAGGGAAATCCGCTTACCGGAAATCTGAGAAGGTTTTATGGTAAAGCCCCTGCTTTGGTTGAGATTTGTATGCACAGTGGAGCTCGGGTTCCTCAACGCTACAAGGCCATGATGAGGCTTGACATCATTGTTCCTGATTCACAGGAAGCTGACATGGTCGCGTAGGTCCTTGGACATGTTCATAGTAGAACTCCATTGTTAGGATAGAAAAGCTTCAAAATATGGTTGATAATAAAATGAGCTGGCTAGCTAGGATCTTTCCTCATAGGATACGTTAGAAATCTTGTCATATAGTGTATTTTACAATTTGGGTGTAAAATATTTTAGAATCCTGTGTAGAAATTAGATTAGTTGACTTTAAATATTTGTTTGATTCTCTGTTCTAGACATCTCACCGGTCATTTGTTATTATAATCGAGACGACCTCAGTGGTATTTGTTTAATTTATTTCTTTGTTTTGAAAGATTTTAAAGATGTTTTGATCCAACGATTAGTTGTTGAAAAACCAAATGATGGAAAAGGATTTCTCGTTGGTGCGGAAGGAGGAGGAAGAAGATAACAGGAATGGGGCGAGTTATTTGTCAGTGGAGATGATGAAGAAGGTGAGCTCCATGGCAGCTCCGATGGTGGCAGTTTCGGTTTCTCAGTTCCTCCTTCAAGTCATCTCCATGGTTATGGCTGGTCATTTGGACGAGCTCTCACTCTCAGCTGTCGCAATCGCCACTTCCCTCACTAATGTCACCGGTTTCAGCCTCATCGTTGGGTTTGCAGGTGCGTTAGAGACTCTGTGTGGTCAAGCTTTTGGAGCAGAACAATTTGGAAAAATTGGGGCATACACGTACAGCTCAATGCTTTGTCTTCTTGTCTTCTGTTTTCCAGTCTCTCTTGTATGGATCTTCATGGACAAACTCTTGGAGCTCTTCCATCAAGATCCTCTAATCTCTCAGTTAGCTTGCAGATACTCAATCTGGCTCATACCGGCTTTATTCGGATTCGCTCTTCTTCAACCTGTGACTTGCTATTTCCAGTCACAAGGATTAATTCTTCCTCTCTTCGTGAGCTCTCTTGGAGCTCTCTGTTTTCACATTCCTTTCTGTTGGCTTCTTGTCTATAAACTGAGATTTGGAATCGTTGGCGCCGCTTTGTCCATCGGGTTTTCATATTGGCTCAACGTGTTTTTGCTTTGGATTTTCATGAGTAACTCTGCTTTGCATCGTGAAATGAAAAACCTTGGTTTGCAAGAACTCATCTCGAGCATGAAGCAGTTCATCGCCCTCGCTATCCCCTCTGCAATGATGATATGGTACTTTATATATCTACATCCAAGAAAGACAAATCTCAGCAACATTTAGAGCTACTTGCTCTGATCTGATCCTAACTTTTTTTTTTGTTCTTTTTTTTGCAAGTAAAGCCTGGAATGGTGGTCGTTTGAGATTCTACTACTAATGTCTGGACTCTTACCAAACTCAAAGCTCGAAACATCGGTGATATCCATTTGGTACATACATATTATTTTGTACAAAATTTCAAACAGTCGGCAAGCTTGTGATCTTTCAAACTTTATTCATTGAGCAGCCTCACAACATCGGCTTTGCATTTCGTTCTGGTGAATGCGATAGGAGCATCCGCAAGGTTTTACAGATTTCAATTGTTCACAAGAATCTGATTTTTTTCATGTAAAATAATATCTCTAAACCCTTTTTATCTTGTTTAACACTATAGCACACATGTCTCAAACGAGCTAGGAGCTGGAAATCATAGGGCCGCTCGAGCGGCGGTTAATTCGGCTATTTCCTGGGTGGTGTTGATGCAACAATAGCAAGCATCACACTTTACAGTTACCGAAAAAGTTGGGGTTATATATTCAGCAACGAGAAAGAAGTGGCTCACTACGCAACCCAAATCACACCCATTCTCTGCCTATTTATTTTCGTTAACAGTTTTCTTGCCGTGCTATCAGGTAAAGACGATTATACTTTGTTACATGAAGCCCAAGAAAAGTATATTCAACTCTAGAATTCTTTCATTACTCAGGGGTTGCCAGAGGAACAGGCTGGCAACGTATAGGAGGTTATGCAAGCCTAGGATCATATTATCTTGTCGGAATCCCGTTAGGTTGGATCTTGTGTTTTGTCATGAAGTTGAGAGGGAAAGGACTTTGGATTGGTATACTCATAGCCTCCACTATCCAACTAAGTGTTTTTACCATTGTCACCTTCTTCGCCAATTGGGAACAAGAGGTATATAAATTACTAATCTTCTTTACTTCTTTTTATGGTTACAGTTTTGAATCTGGTTTTGGTTTGAGTTTCAGGCAACGAGAGCCAGAGACAGAGTATTCGAGATGACACCACAAGTCAAAGGCAACCAAAAGACGCAAATTATATTGGAAGAGGATACACAAGTTTTACTTGATCATATTACAGAAACTGTTTAAAAGTGTAAAACCACTTAATGCAACTCTATTGGTCTACTTCGTTTTAGCCTTCTATTTACTAATTTTGGATGCTTTACATTTGCATGATGTGCGATTTTAAATGATGCGTCTTGAGAATATGGATTCTTGGTTTTTAGTTTGTCAACAAACTACCCATTTCACTTAATAAGAATTTGGAGTCCAATTTCATGCACATAAACTAAGAGAAGTGACCAAAAACCTTTTGCCCAAATATTCATTCTTGTGCGAAGTTATGAATTCCTTAAATAATATAGAAACTTTGAAAGTTTGGATGTAATTGTTTCAAAAGACATCCACAAAAAACTATCATAAGTTGGAACGACATAGAGAAGATCAATATGGTAGTCTAAATCTTTCCTTTGAAAAAACTATCATATTTTTACTATTTTTATTAGATTTTTTTTCGAAATTTCTAACAAATAACTCTATCTCTATATTAATCGTAAAGTAGTAAATCTTCAACATCAATGCATGAATATATGTGTTTGTAAACGTTAAATAAAAATGATAATGCAAACATAGTCGCTACACGCTAACACTAGTATAAGGTAACCACCCATATATTTTAGACCAATTTTAAAGAAATGTAACATGTACTTCAGGAGAAAAATAAACAATTCTTAAGAAAGAAAATGGATAGTATAATTGTAAGAAGGTTTAGTGAGCTACATTTGGGCACAATCAGTCCTCTTAAACGACACAGTTCCAGAAACTGTGTCGTATCCAACAAGGAAGTTCATTTGCGCCAAGTTCCCATAGATTGTTAGCTGTTCATTTTCAGCAAATGCAAAGCAAGACACATCTTCAGACACTTCCACAAACGTATTCACTTTGTGGAGTTTCACATCACCTCCTTTGAAATGAACAGTTATGTCTGGAACTTTAAAACTAGAGGTGTCTCTATAACAAAGACTCAGAACTCTATTAGGATCATGTACTCGCTCTACTTTGATTGTGGAAGCAACTGCAGATTCCAGCTTAGAATAAAACTTGGATGGCAATAGAGTTAGAGTGGTACCCGAGTCGATAACGATGTTTCCTTCTTTGGTTCCAACCCGTGAAATGAATTTTCTTGCTTCCCACGCTAATGGCTTCTAGGGTTAGGAAATAGAACGTGGCGGGATCTTTCTTGACTAAAGGGGTTGACACAACTCCATCTCCAGAGACAAAGCCGTTTGTTCCAAAGTTGATCTTGCTTGTTAGTCCGGTTTCAGATGTTAAAGGCACTAAACAATAGGAGAATTTACCGTTGTTGGATTTCCCGAGTTGTGAGACTAACGATGTAGATCCTCCTCCGAGTCCGATGATCCCTGAGCCAGCCGCGTCAAAGATTCCAGTGTTGTCGTGTCCGCACCCAATGATCACGTTTCTAAGCGACACAGGGCGAAGACGGCTAGATCCAATCGTCAGGGTGTCAACGGCAACGTCACCTTTGGTGTATGAATTGTCACCGTATGAAATCGTATAGGAACAAGTGTCCTTATCTGTGGAACAAGAAGCTTCTTCTAGGGCTCTACAGTGGCTTGAGGAGCAAGAAACCTTTTTATATGTGGAAGATTGTTTAGGATCAAAGAGTGGAGCTTTCTGGTTGTAACAATCTTTGCAAGGATTGCACTGAGTCCAAATCAAGTCGCTGCCCGTATCCGCAATTGCTAGTATCGGGAACGGGGGAGTCCCAATCGATATGTTCATGAGATACTCACCGTGGTTTGAAGTGATAACTGATTGTGGTGAGTTTGTTGAAGCATCATCATTGCTGAATTCGAGTGTACTGCGAGCAGAACGGCGGACAGCATTTCTCATACGTTGTGAAGAGGTCTCACCGGGATTGTAGAACGGTGATTTGGGAGAATCGCGGTGGATCAGCTCAAGGGTGAAGCCATGTTTCGGATAGGCGTTCACGTTTGAGAGTAACAAAAGGGACAAGAGAGTTGCAGAAATGAGAGAAGCCATTTTGAGAATCCTTTAAGAGACATAACTAAAGCTATTTGAATAACCATATTGTTGACTACATGAATGAGTTGACTTATTCAGTTATTTGTAATGTTTTATGATTTGAGGTAATTATTAAATGCTAAACGTAGTTATGGTAATAAATGCAACAAATTAAGGATGTAATGTTCTTTGAATATTGAATATTTTTTTTCATTAAGAGAACCTGTGAATATAAAAAATGTATACTTGTCTATTGTATAACTGTGATTTTTTTTTTTTTTTTGTCATCTGAAATTAATTAGAGCTCAAAAGAGCCATTCCTGTGGAATGTTGTTTACAAATGTGATATGAAGCGGTTCTGTACGAATTTTTCGTGCCAGATGATCCGCTTTTACATTAGCATTACGAGAAATTAAAGATAAAGAGAAGGATGAGAATTCTTCCTTGTCGCTCTGAAATTCCTCCAAGTACACTGAAAACGCCGGCCATTCGGTTGGAGAAGACACCATCTTAACCAGATCAGAACAGACTGTGATGGAACATTAATATTTTAAAATGAGTATAAAATCTAACCATCATTCAAAAAATTTATATAAAAAGTATATGGTCAAAATCCAACATGATAATAATGATAAAAGTTAATATTGATACTTTATCCTATAACATTTTAAAATAATGTGTACCTCTTTAGTAGGTTTAAAAAATTGGTCTAGGTGGACGCTTTTGAACTTCTAGATGTCTCTATTTTTGTAAATTTAGTAAATCAAATTGGCGTTCAGAAATCAGTAATCGATCAATCAAATCTGCCTATTTGATATCGTTTTAAATAAGTAAAAAATTAAGAAAAAATAAAATCAAAAAAATACTTGATTACTAAAACATTTAATTAGTCTAAATGTTTTAGTTATGGGACTAAGTTATTTTAGTTTCATGTACTCTAGGTGTGAATATATATAACAAATTGGAATATGTAACGTTTTAACATTCAGCTCCTATTAAAAGCCTAACTACTGCGTAATAATTTTTTGAACTTAACTTCAAAATAAACTACTAAAAGTTTTTAAATCGTTAACAAAAATAAATAATGCGCCAAAATAACTTATTAACAAATATAAATAACACACTAAAATAACTTACCACCAAAATTTTAAATTGACTAAATAAAAAAAATATAATAGCCTCGAATTTATAAATTTTAAATTATTATCTAAAAACATAGGATTAATTTTCAGTTTTACTTTAAATATAAAGGTAAATGGTGTAAACTACTGCCTTTCAAAATATCTTTTATCCCAACTAGGTTCACTTTTGATACTATGAACAATTATAACTTTTTACATCCAAATCAACCACAATTTAAAAATGGTTCGGTCGATATTCATTATGTTTGATCACACGAACCATGGAGATTTACTTTCTTCGTCTTTTCCTTTTGCTTGTTTTCAAAAGTCACATGAAATACATGACTCAACTTCTTTGCAGCATTTTGGTAAATATGTCAAACACATAACCTATGTTTTGTTTCAGGGAAAACCTTCACTATTGCATTCGCCATTGCTGCAGATTGGTCAATAAGAATAGTTTTTGGTTGTTTTCCAAACATTGCTCCAAGAAAAGTCTCGAAAAGCCACTTAAATGACTTAGTGGTTTCATCATATAAGAGAGCAACACCAAACACTACAGTTTGCTTATGATGATTGACCCCGACAAATGGAGCAAATGGTCTATCATATTCATTGGTCTTGTAAATTGTGTCAAAGCAAATGACATCTCCAAAAAAATTATAATCACTTATAGACCGATCATCTGCCCAGAAGATATTCGTGATCATATCGTCTTCATCAAGTTGCATTGAATTAAAAAAAGATGAATTATCCTCTTTCTTTTTTTTGAAAGTATTCCAAAACTGCTCCAGCATCTCCCTTTACCATTTTTTCCATTCGCTTTCGATAAATATAATTACGATAGTCTTTCTCTAAAAACACCAGATTTTCTCGCCCTCCAACTTCTCTACTCATCATTTCAACAGTTGATTTTGCTAAAATTCCTGACATCTCGGCATCATCAGCATGTTGTATTTGAGCAACAGAGAACGCCCGGTTTCATTTCAGCAAATGCTTCATAGGCGTCTTTACTAAATTATGGTTATGATTCTGGTTGAAAGACACAAACTTATATCTTCCCGTCCTCTAAAGGTAGCAAGTCATATGAGCTTTACAACCACACCGTGTAATTGGCTATGAATAACATGTCTTGATCTTAGGTTCCTTCTTAAACTCTTCTTTTCAGCAAACATAGAGAAGCCTTGCTACTTTATCATTTTTTTTTTTTTTTCTTTGTTGTTTCCTTACATTGAAACCATGTTCGCCTGCAAATTTTTTATAAGCTTTATGTGCAATTTCATCAGAACTAAACTCCATTCCAATACACAGTTCATCTTTCTTCTCTTCAGTTTTAAAGTAGTCCTCTTTGTTGACTATATCATCTTTTTCTTCTTCGAATTCACTGACTGAAGCTTCGCCTTCGCTTACTGAATCATATTTTTTCTTATCACTACTTTCCATTCTAATCTGCACTAATCGATATAATATTATTATATGTATTTCTATTATGTTATATAAATCTTGCCAATAAAACAAAAAAATAGCACGGTATGATCTTACGACCAAAAAAAAAATTATGAGGAAGAAGAACAATTCTTTTTGTGGTGCAACAAGAAAAAACTTTGACAATTAAAAACTAAGTTAACAAAAAATAGAATACAAATTAAACCATACCAAACAAAAAAAATAATTCACGTTCTAACATGGTTAGAAAACATAAACAACGTCCTACTTATATGTATTGAATACATGAACCTAGTAGATAGAAAATCTTCAATTGACTAATTTTCAAATTAAGAAACTTTGATGTAAATATAAAAATTATTTTGACTTACGTTTAAATTGTGTAGAAACGTGAAACTCTTTCTTTTGCTAAAACTAATCTCTTTTGATGATATGTGAGAAGAAGAATAGCAAAAAGTTATGAATAAGGTTAGGGTTAATGACCATATATAACACTAGATGAATACCCACGCTACGCGTGGGTTTGTTTTAAAAGTTGTTAATAACAAAATATTTTGATTGTTCTTGTTGCTAGTTAATCACCCGCTTTACGCCGCGATTTTTTCCGGTTTTTTTTTATTTTGATTTATTTGATGTTATATTTTGATAAATGTAATTTTTAATTATCTAATCATTTACTCATACAATGAACAACTACTCTTAGTATTAAAATACATTTTCAACCAACATACTCAACAATGCATCACTCACACAATCCGTAAACAATTTTTCCTAAACCAATTTTATAGATGGTAATGTTGGGATTATAGAACCTCCAAAATGTGATGACCTTACGTACTCTTCACCCTCAGTGTCATATATAGATAAAAAAATTAAGAGAAAAACTTACTCAAACCATTAGCTAATCCACTATACTATTATCCACTCATATTTTGAGTTAAGATTACAAAAATTAGCGAAAAAAACTTTGGAGTATATAAAACCAATAAACATGGAAAAAAAACATAAAATAACAAAATAAGTTAGTATTGGTAAAAATCAATATGTAAAATTAAATAATATATATAATTAAATAATAAATATATTATTAACTTGTGAAATAGATTTTCAAATTCATATGGGCCATCCCTCATGGGCTATTGTGTTTTCCCCATTTGACATTTATAATTAGAAGCTGATGTGTAAAAAATAAAAGCTGACTCATATTAATGAAATGTTTTGATTGGATGGAAAGAAAGCTGATCTGGCATCTGCAGAAGAGCCTAAAATGCTGACGTGGCGACCATATGGAGAGAGATAGTCTTCTTTCATATATATGATTCAGATTTAGCGTTTTTTATTGACTTATTAAGTTTTTTTTTTCCTATTGGATTTAGGAGTCTTACTTGAATGAGAGAAGTAGCCCCCACAACTAATTCAATTTTGATTTTTAATGATTAAATCTGATTATTGTTTTTGATAATATTAATTATTTTAATTTCTTTAATTAGATTTAATGACAAGGGGGTGAATGAGAAGGGCTCACCCCTAGGGGTGAACCCAAGAATTGTTCCATCAAAATTTGTCGGAGATTGCAGATGGTATTTCTCAACGAATTTTCTATGAAATTTGATTTTTTTTTTTAATAATTTAAAATATTTTGATATTAAATTAAATTTATAAAAATCAAACATATAACTAAAAATCAAAAATATAACTAAAATGGATTTCAAATATAATAACATATAAATTTAAAATGATCTGGTATGTAAATTGTAAACATACGTATATTTTTTAGTTTATTTATTAGGGTGAAGCTCACCATCTTCATAGTAAAATGTTTGCTAATTTGAAACTAAGTTGAACTTTTTCACTTTATTCGTTTCTTGAATATTTTGTTAACATTTTCCAACTCAACAGTTTCTTGTTTCAATATAAGATACTGATATTATAAAATACCAGAAATACACTCCTAAATCTAATTAACGACCTTATCTAAAAAAATAATAATTATAAACTTAACTAACCACCTAATTCTTGTTATAGAAATCTCCGCCTAACTCCGATTACTCCCCGCTTAATCGCTAGGCCCACCCTATACGCCTCGATTAATGACTAATCCCTTGAAGAAATCGGTTATCCGATTACTCTCTGTTTAATCCAATTTTTTCCCGCCTAATCCAATTACTTCTCGCCTACTATTGTATAATCCAGTTATTTTTATATTGCAAGTATAAAAGAACTTTTTTTTTTCTGATTCAGACATTTAAATTGAGGATTTGTGTTCGAAATTTTATAAAAATCATAAAATTTTGTCTTACAAATATATTTTTATGAGTTTACTACAGTTTTGAAAACAATATTAGATTAATATGTTTAAAAACATTAATATGTCCCCGATTAATCTCCAATTTTAATCTTATTTTCCGATTAATCGCTAGGCTCATACCGAGCGTCCGACTAACGCCTAGTGATTTTTCGAACAAGGAAATCTAACTAACCAACTAAGAATAAAAAAGTATTTCTAATCATTT